AAATTGTGTGGTGATTATTTAATTCATAAATAAAATTGTACAAAATGCAAATTCATGTTCAAACGCACTAGTAATCAGAGAAATAATAATGAAAAATGAGACACCATTTCCCAGTTACCTTGTTATAAATTAAACTGATTGCTCCTAATAAGTCTTGATAAACATGTTTGGGCTTGCATCCTGGTTTACTTTTCATGAAAGAATATATACACACACATCCACTCATATAGTGATATTGGACTTTGGAACATTAAACACTGAAATATACACAGTGATTACCCCTGGAGAATCTGTGGGGTATAGCCACAGCTTCAACTTTTACTCCATATATTCTATGTTATTTCTATAATGGGAATATTTATAAATACATAGCTATTCACATAAACGTGAAAAATTGGAAACATTTGGAAAATTTTAAATGAAGAAGAATCTTACCTTCTATTAAGGACAATATCTTTGAAACAGATTTTTGAGAAAATGGAAAATATTTGATTTTAAAAAGTTTTAAGAATATAAAAATATTAAAGAATTGTATAAATGCAATGTATTTACATGAAAAAATACTTGGTTTGGGGCTTCCCTGGTGGCGCAGTGGTTGAGAATCTGCCTGCTAATGCAGGGGACACGGGTTCGAGCCCTGGTCTGGGAGGATCCCACATGCCGCGGAGCAACTAGGCCCGTGAGCCACAACTACTGAGCCTGCGCGTCTGGAGCCTGTGCTCCGCAACAAGAGAGGCCGCGATAGTGAGAGGCCCGCGCACCACGATGAAGAGTGGCCCCCTCTTGCCACAGCTAGAGAAAGCCCTCGCACAGAAACGAAGACCCAACACAGCAAAAATAAATTAATTAATTAATAAACTCCTACCCCCAACATCTTAAAAAAAAAAAATTTGGTTTGTTAACTTTATTTAAATTATCACCTAATTTGAGTAACAGCTAACTGCCGTTTACCTTGTAAAAATACATATGTTGACATATCCTTTTTTTATTTCCATTGTAGTAAAACATGGCACATGATTACTATATTAAATGCATTTTTATTATATATATTGCCTAACTCTACTTTAGCTTTATTTATTCACAAAGAGAAACTTTACTAAACAAATTACTAAAAAGACAATTGGGGGTAGTTTTCTCTTAGGAATTCAGACGATATATTTCCATGTTGGCAATTTATGAATTAATTACCAAATATTTTCGGCAGTAAATGTAAATGATCAACTACTATTTTAGGTGTTATTTATTTAGTTCTTATAGTTGTATGTGCCTTTGGGTATTCTAGAAATAGTAAAATAGTAAAGCTTCACTGAATATAAGTATATTGTGTAGTTGAAAAGTTGAACACAAGAGAGTATTAAGTAGACGCTGAGAAACAAGAACTGTTAAGTGGTTGAATTAAAATAGCATTCCTTCTTATGAAATTTTAGGAATGTCAGTTTAAGAACTGCTGTGATTATAATACATGTAAACTGAAAGGCTCAGTAAAATGTGGTTCTGGATCATGCTGTACATCAAAATGTGAGGTAAGTTTCCAACATTTATGTTGGAAATTGAACTGTGATAATAGAAGGCTATATTAATTGAATTGATAGAAGGACTCTAGAAATAATTCAGGGGAACAAAGTAAAGAGTGCATAAACAACCACAGGTATGTAAGGACACCTACGATGAGATAGAGAAGGCATCTCAGATTAGTACTGATTATTCTATTATGTTGAAACCACAGTTTACCATCTTCTAATTTATCAGATAAAGAGTAGAATAAACATATACACTGCTATACAAAAAAAAATGCAATTGTAAAGTCAAATAAATGGTAAATGACTAAAAAAATATAACATGCATAGCCAACAAAATGTGTAGCGTAGAGAATATGCAAAGAACCTTCACACATTAATAAGTAAAAGTCGAATCACACACCACACACACACACACAGGCGAAGGGAGTGCCCAGGCAATTTACAACAATGAAAAGTAGAATTGCTCAATGTGTTCACTGATCAGCTGCAGTAATTAAGATAAACATAAATAAAAATGATAACGCAGTATCATCCAAATGGCAATCTTAAAAACAACAATGCCAGGTATTGTCTAAGAAATGGGGATAGAGCTCTTTTCTGCATAGTGTTTGTGGAATTTTGAATTGTTATAATTCCTTTCCTGAGCAATTTTTGCATATCTTTGAATAGAGTATAAATTATCAAGTTAATTCATCATCATGAGTTTCTCTTATATATATACCCTAGAAACATGACCATATGTGGAAAGCTCAGGAAAAAAGTATTAATTTCAGGGTGATTTGCAATAGCAAACCATAAAGGCAAACTTAATATTTACTGGTATTGGAATGATTACATAAATTATTGTAAATTGTACAAGAGTTAATAAATGCAGGCTAAATTGAGTGCAATAATATGCTGTGATCTTCAAGACATATGTTTGGATAAGAAAGCAAGTTCCATAATGCAAAATATTTTAATTCCAGTTCTGGTAAATTACATATACATAAAAATCCCATGTATTATTTTTGCCCATTTTTCAATTAGGGTATATTTTATTATAGTAAAATTCTTTTAGTGAATACTTCTGAGTATTATGACAAACATATTCAGTCTTATAACTAACACCACAAAGGATAGGCAATTTCATCACCGCTGCCTCCAAATCTCACCACCCCCCCCCCCCCCCTGCCCCCTTCTGGTCAATTCACACCTCCACCCACAGACCCTGGTAACTTCAGATCTGTTTTCTGCCATCTCTAATTTTGCAAAAGCAAATGACATTTTATTGAATGATATGAGTAGACACTGTAATTAGGCATCTTAGCATAGTGCATGTGGGCTTCATTTATGTTATGTTTATCAGCAATTCATTCCTTTTTTGCTGCTGAATAGTATTGCAAGGATTTTAAGGCAGCACCACCGTTCGTTAATACATTCCCTAATTGGGGACATTTGGGTTGTTTTCAGTTTTGGGTGGTGAAAATACAGCTCCTATAAAAATATTATAAGCAGATTTTGTATGAATAGGAGGGTTTTTTTTTCACTTAGATAGAGACCTATAAGTGAAATGGCTGGGTCATATAGTAAGTGTATATGGAATTTCATAGGAAACTGAAAACCTGTATTCCAAAATGGCTATACTATTTTGAATTCCCAATAGCCATTCATGAGCCTTACCATTGGTCTGCAAACTAAATATAAATTCTAAAACTATACAACATATGATTCCATTTTATCTTTGCTACTGGTTTATTATTTAAACTTTAAAAATCATTTTATTGGTTGTCTCAGAGTTTACAAATCTTTGATCAGAGCCTGGTTTCATGTAATACACCACCTCATGTATAGAGAATGGATCTTATATAAAAGAACACTCCTACATACTATAAACACAAAATACATTGTTACTCTTTTTGCTTTATATAGTCTTATTTTTTTAGAGCAAGTAAGATGAGGAAAACAGAATTTTATAATTAACATCATTTGTTCCATTTTCTGGGTCTCTTTATTTTCTTCTGTAAATTTCTGTTTAGTACCATACTCCTTGTGTCTGAAGACCTCTCTTTACTATTCCTTGTAATTTCTGTCTGCTGAATCAGTTCTCTCAGTTATTATTTGCCTAGGAAAGTCTTTATTTCACATTCAATTTTTAAACATATATATATATTTTGTGTGTGTGTGTGTGTGTGTGGTACGCGGGCCTCTCACTGTTGTGGCCTCTCCCATTGCGGAGCACAGGCTCCGGACGCGCAGGCTCAGCGGTCATGGCTCACGGGCCCAGCCGATCCACGGTATGTGGGATCTTCCCGGACCAGGACACGAACCTGTGTCGCCTGCATCGGCAGGCAGACTGTCAACCACTGCGCCACCAGGGAAGCCCTGAAACATATATCTCTTAAAAATGGAATTCTAGGTTGAAAGAGTTTCTTTTTTATGTCATCCTTTATAAGATGCCATTTCATTCGTTTATTCCTCATCTTTGTCTCAGTCTGTAAAGTATTAAGTCAATCAAACTGGATTGTAGAGTGTGAGTGTGTGTGTGTGTGTGTGTGTGACTTCAACATACATATTGGGTCAGCATTTGGACGTGGTGAACTTCACTATGGAAGGCAATGGATGACTGATTTAGTCAGCAGGGCATAAAAATATGACCGTAAATGTACTCTTTATCTGAGCTATGCAAGGAGGACTTTTGGCTCTCAGATAATAATAAATATAACAATGGTGACAACAACACTGATGACGATAGCTATTCCATACGTTGTTTACCATGTGTTGCTCTAAGCAGTTTTTACATTAATTCAGTTTAATACTAACAAGAGCCTTATGAGGGAATGATTATCATCCTAAGTTTACAAATGAGGGATTATGTGTCTCGCCCACACAAATAAGCTAGTAAAAGTCCAAGCAAGAGATTGAAACCAGGTAGTTTTTTTCTAATTTTTATTTTATATTGGACTATAGTTGATTTACAATGCTGGGCTAGTTTCAGGTGTACAGCAAAGTGATTCAGTTATATATATACATATATGTCTTATTTTTCAAATCCTTTTCCCATTTAGGTTAGTATAGAATATTGAGCAGAGTTCCCTGTGCTATACAGTAGGTCCTTCTTGGTTATCTATTTTAAATATAGTAGTGTCTATGAAACCCGCTAGTTTGTCTCCTGGGTCTCTCCAAGAAGAAAATGGTAGAGGCAATGTTTCTCCAATTTTGAGGAACAAGTATGTTTAAACTAATCTGTGTAGTCTCCCTCCAAATGCTGGTTAGTCTGATGGCCTCTCAGTGTAGAACACAAAGCTCTGTTGGAGGGGTCCTTTTGTCCTTTGAGACAGTTACTTTTCTTCAGGCTTCATCATGAATACTGCACCTGCCTTTTCCTACTCAGCCTTCGGTCTCTGTTATTCCCTCAGCTATCAATAATCAGACACCTCATTTTCTCTTCGTACGTAATTGAGAATAGCCATTCACGGAACATGATTTTCATTTTCCTCCTAGATATCAGTAGCAGGCACTCCCTGTAGAAAAAGTGTTGATCAAGAGTGTGATTTTACCGAGTATTGCAATGGGACTTCCAGTAGTTGCATTCCTGACACGTATGCAATGAACGGCCAATTGTGCAGGTTGGGAACTGCGTACTGTTACAATGGACGATGCCAAACTACCGATAACCAGTGTGCCAAGATATTTGGAAAAGGTATCGCTCTTTCTTATATATTTCTCTTTTTCTTGTCTTTGATGAAGCAGTAGAAATTAGTAATTTTATTAAGCCTCAGTTCTGAGTACATCTTATTGTCTTAATATTCTGCATGATACGTGGGAAGGATACATAAAGCACTTCTGTTGCATACGGGAGGACGTGGGAAAGCACCTGTGCAGTTGGTTGATTTGTGAGCTGAACTAGCCACTTGTGTCATGGAACACCATTTTTACTTAAAATCATAATTGAGACAAACTATGTTTATAAGAGTTGAGTGTTTGGCAGACACTTTATCAAAAATGAGTGAGGTGAGCCTGTGACTTCAAGGAAAACAACTGGCAGAATTTGTTGCTAAGGGTAAAACTCAGACTTTCAACTAAAAATTTGAGTTTTAGAAACATTATCTTCCACTGTGACTTGACAGTTTTCCAACACAAAGTTAAGTGTTAAAATTAAAATTAATATTAGTATTAATATGATCATTACCTTGAACTCTTTTATCAAGAAGACTGCTTATCTCCACTTTGTTTTGTTCTTCTTCTGGGGGAACATATTCCTTCTTTGCCTCATTTTGCCTGATTCTCTGTTTTTATTTCTATGTATTAGGTGGGTTGGTTACATTTTGTCACACACTTTCTCTGGGGCCCAGCAGCACACTCCCTTCTGTTCTCCAGAGCTGTATGCTCAAAGGGTACCCTCTGGGTGGACTGCAAGGCCTGTGGGGTCCTGGGTCTGGCATTGGCCCACTGATGGGAGGTGCCAGGTCCCAGGGCACCTGGGCAGAGGCTTGGAGGGGCCTGTCTTACATATTTCTTTTGCCTTAAATTTGGATCCCTCTGTAGGAAATAATACATATCACACAACTCTAGAAGTGGAAGAACCTGAATCACAAGGTCAATAAAGATTAACTTGGAATGAAAGAAGGTTAGTTTTTGTAGGAGTGTTTCAGATTTTCCAGGATAATATTGTACATTCCTTTCCTCATGATTTGATTTTTGGTTTTAGCTACCTGGGCAAAAATCCATGTTTACAGCTCAAATTAGGAGCTGTATTTATGTATATAGAGATTGGAATGGCAAGTCTGTGGATTCTGAAAGTTTACTTCATTTCCTTTTATTTTACACATTCATAATCTAATTTTAATGGCCTGAAACTTTAAAAGTTCAGAGTGAATTTCATTCACATATAATCATATTTCCTCACGGAAGAACCGCTAGGATAACAGTAGTCTTAGACAACTGATCAAAATTCATTTTTATATTTTGCTTTTTAAACAGTTTTTGAGACTAACTCAAAAGCTCATGCATATATGCACGACTCATATGTCTAAATATGCTTTTTAGACAGTCATTATTCATAATACTCCAACATGATTTTGCATTTTTAGAAGAATTAAATTAAATTTGAATAGATCAAAATTACTGACATTCAAATGTAATCATTTGGTAATTGAGTAAAGGTAGTATAACACCAAATTTCAGTTATTTGCCCAGCTGTAATACAAGGTTTATAGTCTGTACCAAATACATGGCATGTGATTCGTATTGTCTTTCTAACTATTTGAAACTTGTCTTTAGTAACAAGTTTCAGATTAGTTGACTTAACCAAATTTTAGCCAGAGCTGCAGAGCTATGATCTCTCATAAATGACAGGTCAGTGCGATTTTCTGTATGCTGTGTTTTTAGGATGTTACTTTTTATTTGGTTGTTTCTTGTTTTTTTACTTTTTCAAGGCTCATTTGTATTTGAAAATGTTATTTGTCTTCGCCAGTTTTCAGAACCATTGACTGAATGGGCACTAAAAAGCCCAGAAGGAAAACCACACAACACTTTGGCAAATATACATGTGAACAGTTCTCCTAGTGCACCCCCAAATGGGACCTACAACCATTTAATCAGGGGTTTGTTCACTGGGGAAAGGGAGATAACCAAGCATTTTGGAAACTGGTGGACAAGGTCCGATTTGGCGTGTGTACCTGGAAACCCAGTTTCATCATGGTCTCTCTGTGAGAGCAGGGACTTTGAGGGGTCAGAGAACAAATAGAGTCCATGCCAAGTTTCAGTTTATAATGGGTCCACCAGGTCCACAAGTCCATTTGGTAATCCTTTGTCAGTCCTAGAGTGTATCATTGGGGTTGACATGATGGTATTTTGTGCAGTGCCATCATTAGCTCCTTGGTCTGTTTGGTAAGGCCATGGAGATAGCCTTTCCAGGAATTATTGCTTCCCTTAAAGATCTAAAGGATGCAGACGTGGTTGGCTATATAATATCTACATTTAATGACCCAGTTGGGTCATTAAGTTGACCCTGCAGAAACCAGATGGTCCCTGGAAGATAATAGTAATCTATTGCAAATGCAGGCAAGTAGTAGATTGAGTAACGCACCCGCGCTGCCAGTGTGGTGTCTATGCTAGAGCAGATCAGCGTGACCTCCAATATGTGGTAGGAGCATAGCCATTGATTTGGCAAATATATTCTTTCCTATTCCTATCTGAAAAGAGAATTAGAAGCAGTTTGCATTCACATGGAATTCACATGTCTTTAATTTAGGGTTTTGCTCCAGGGCTGTGTTTACTCTCTCCTGCCTTCAGTCATAACGTAGTTGAAGAGATTTGGACATCCCAGAAAATGTCACTTTGATCCACCTTATCATTGATTTTTGTATTAACCCGGCTAAATAAGCAAAGTGTAGCTAGAATGTTGGAGGACTAGGTAAAATGCATGTACTACGAGGGGCAGGAGATAAGACTCAAGAAATATTTAGGAACCCATCACATCAGTAAAATTTTAGGAGTCCAGTGATCAGAGGCATGACCTGACACCCTCTACAAAGTAGAAGACAAACTGTATGTATCTTGCATTTCATATGACAGAGAAACAAGTCCAGTACCTGGTAGGCCTCTGTGGGTTCTCGAGGCAGTAGATGGGGAAGTGCCGCTTGATTCCATTTACTGGTTGGCCTGAAACATTGCTAATATCGAGGGAGGTAAAAACAGGAAAGGCCTCTGCAGCATATCCAAGCTGCAGTGCAGACAGCCCTGCATTTTTAATCGTAAAACAGAGAAATCCAATACCAGAAGTGTGGGTTATGAGAAAAAGAAAAATGCCGTGTGGGGCTTCTACCAGGCCTCTCGGGAGAATAACAATGCAGTTCCCTGGGGTTCTAGAGCAGAGCTGTGCCATCTAAACTGGAAAATTATACCAATTTGACAGAACAACTCTGGGCACACTACTGGCCCCTGTAGAGGTAAAAAACCTGGTTTTCGGACATCAAGTGACCAATTGTTGAGAACTATGCATCCTAAGCTCAGTTACGTCAAATCCACGGAGTTAGACGGTTCAATAGATAGAAGTCATTCGTTCATCTGGATTCAAGCTCAGGAAAAAGAGAGGGCAGAAGACAAATTCATGAACAGGAAATCTAGATCAGTATGTCTTTCTACCCTCTTCCACCTTTGCTTCTTCCTCGGCTCTGACCAGCAGATACATGGGCTCTCATCATGAGCAGCAGACGCAGGAGGAAAAAGCCCAGCCTTGTTTATACAGGTGTGTTGGCTCAGTACTGGTTATAAGTTGAAAAAAGACAGTAGCCACACTGCAGCCTCACTTGGGAGGATGCCTTAAAAGATTTTGACCACGTGGTCATCCATTTCCCATGAAGGAGAAATGGCCGGAGTTTGGATTAGGGGGGTACCCGTGGGCAGTGACAAAGGGCCAAGCAGGCCGGTGGGAAGCCTGGATGTTGGAAGATTAGAAGATTAGAGCCAAGAGTTCTGGGATAGAAGTAAGTGGATAGACACATGGACATGAACAAAAAATGTGAAGACCTTTGTATTAATCCACCAGGTTAATACCCACCAGAGAAGCACCCACCATGGATTAGACACAGAACAATCACATAGACACAATGACTTAGCCAGGTTACAGCAGCCAGCATCCGTCATCCTCCACCCCAGTGCCTGTAGGGTGGACACATTTCTGAAGTTTCTCTATTTCTTTTTATTACCGTTTCTGAAATAACTGATTCTTATCTGAGTTTCCCTTATCTCTTTCTTGAGTATTTGTACCATCTGGTCACATTCAGCCAAGAGTAACCAAGACACATTCTCCAGAAGTTTCAGCATTGCACAGCGTGCATTACTCTCCTTCTTGCCCCCTACTGCCAGGCTTCAATTAAAATGCCACATTTTAGGCATATTTTGCAGTAGAATTACACATCTACATACCAATTCCTGTGTTTGTTGAAATGGAAATGAACCTCAAACCTCTGCGATTTCCATATCTAATACACTTACTCTTCGCTATGACACCCAGACTGACTGATGAGCCTCTACTTGAAACATTGCTTGTCCCCCATCAGAAAAAAAAAAGAGAATATGGCACTCAATCTACTAGTTCTGACGGTTTTGCCCCAACTGACATCTCAAATCTCTCATTTCATTAAGCAGAGCAAGTTACAAGGTCAAGCCCGAGGTACATTGGACTAGGAAGGATGCATTCCCACAGGGAGGGGTCAGCAAATTATTTTTAACCATAACATAATTTACTGCAATGGATATAATAATTTTCTATTTTCTGTCAGATAAGACAATTGTTTCTTTCCACTTGCATTGACAGGGAACACACAGGGACAAAAAAAAAAAAATAGCATGATCAAGACCATGATTTTTTTTGCTTATGCAATGAGTTTCATTAGTATTTTATTGACAAATGTTTTACTTGCATCAAGAATAATAATTTAGGACATATTTTCATTTTAAGGTGCTCAAGGTGCTCCATTTGCCTGTTTTGAAGAAGTTAATTCTCTGCGTAATAGTCTTGGAAACTGTGGTTTTAAAAACTCCCAACCATTACCTTGTGAACAGAAGTATGTATATAGAAAATGATTGTTTCATTGAGTTATAAAAATTATATATTTCTTGTCAAGAGACACTAAATAGTAGTGGACAGTAAATCGTATATCTGGAGAATATTTTCAAATAACATTATGTGTATTTTCCTTCTATGCAATTCAGTTCTCTTTTTTCTTATTTTTTTCCCTTCTAGTGTGTTAGTAAGGAGACTAGACTAAGAGAAATTTAATATTTCTTACTGAAGGTAGAAAGTGGGCTCAGTGCAGAGGGAACAGATGAAATCACCCGTCTCCTAGTCTTTCCCTGAAAGGCTTCCATCTGCATACTAAGAAGGTTGCTACCTGAAGGTCAGGTTTCTAATTTAGCACACATCTAGGAGCTGACTGCAATCTTCCCCAGAGACTCGAGAAACTGATAGACACTCTCCCTGCAATCTCTTCGTAGCCCACTCCAAGTCACCAGTATCTCCCTATAAAGAACTTGTACACATTTCTACACCCCAGCTTTTGCACTGCTGCCTGAGGGTCAGATCCCCAAGTCACCTTGCTCTGATAGCCAAAGGGACTTCCATTCACAAATATGCCCCCAGGGTTCAGCACAGAAGGAGCAGACAAAAATGCCCATCTCCAGTCTTACCTGGAAAGGGGTCTGTGTGCATGCTTTAAAAGCTATTGACTGAGAATCAGCCTTCTAATTTAAAAAGCTTCTAAGGCCTGCCTTTGATCCTGCCCAGGGACCAGGAATGCCAGCAGCCTCCTCCTCCAGCATCTCCCTGTAGCCTAATTCAAATCACCAGTATCTTCTGCTGGAAGCTTGTACACATGTCTGCACCACAGCTTTTGCAGTTAACACCCAAGAAACAGGCTTCCAAACAGGTTGGCACTGTTAATCAATGGCACTTCCATTAATGAGTCCCATTTATTGTAGAAATCAAATAAGCACTTCTTAATGGACACAGGAACACCCCTACACATACACTCTCTGCTGCTATACCCCCAGGCCCGGTACATAAGAAGCAGGCAAAAATGCCCATTACCCAGTTTTTCCCTGTAGGGAGAAATACTGGATATACTATATCTACTATACAGACAATCTGAACAGACCAATAGCAAATAAGGTGATTGAACTGGCAATTGAAAACCTCCCAACAAACAAGTCCACTGGGGAATTCTACCAAACATTTAAAAAAAGAATTAACAAATTCTTGTGAAAGTCTTCCAAAAATTAGAAAAGAACACTTTCAAACTCTTTTTACAAGGCTAGTATTACCCTAATACCAAAGACAGACAAGGACATTTCAAGAAGAGAAATAACAGGCCAATATCCCTGATGAACATAGATGCAAAAAAAAATTTTTTAAATAACAAATTTAACAGTACTTTGAAAAGAACATACACCATGATCCAGTAGGAAATATCCCAGGGATGCAAGGATGGTTCAATAGCCACACATCAATGAATGTGATACACCACATTAATAAAATGAAGGATAAAAATCATATGGTCATCTCAGTAGGTACAGAAAAAGCATTTGAAAAATTTCAACATCCTTTCGATATAATAACTCTCAACATATTAGAGTAGAAAGACTGTACCTTGACATAATGAAAGCTATATATGGCAAACCCACAGTTAATAGTGTACTTAACAGTAAAAGCTGGGAGTATCACCCCTAAGATTAAGAAAAAGACAATAATGCCTTCTCTTGTCACTTCTATTTAATATAATACAGCTGTAATAATCAAAAGAGCATTATACTGGCATAAAACTGAGATATATCAATGAAACAGAATAGCCTAGAAACAAACACATACATACACAGCGAGTTAATTTTCAACAAAGGGGTCAAGATTATAAAATGGGTAAAGAATAGACTTTCCAATAAATGGTGTAGGGAAAACTGTATTGCCACAGGAAAAAAAAAAGTTGAACTGGACCTCTGTCTTACACCATATACAACAATCATCTCAAAGTGGAAGATAAAAAACACTTGAATGTAAGACCTGAAGCTGTAAAACTCCTAGAAGAAAATATAGGAGATAAGCTTCTTGACATTGGTCTTGGCGATGATTTTTTGGATAGGCACCAAAAGCAAAAGCAACAAAAGAAAAATTAGACAGCTAGGACTACATCAAACTAAAAAGCTTCTGCTTAGCACTGGAAACCATCCACAAAATGAAAGGGAATGGGAGACAGTATTTGCAAATCACATATCTAATAAGGGGTTAATATCCAAAACATACAAGGAACACTTACATATCAATAGCAAAAAATATTTTTAAAATGATAATGATAATCTTTATTAAAAATGAGCAGAGGACCCAAATAGACATTCCCCCCACAAAAAAAATACAAATGGCCAACAAGTACACGAAAAGGTGCTTTACGTCACTAATGATGAGGACCATGCAAGTCAAAACCACAATGAGATATCACCTCACACCTGTTGAGACAGCTATCATCAAAAGACAAGAGATAACAAAGACTGGCAAGGATGTAGAAGAAAAGGGAACGCTTGTACACTGTGGGAATGTAAGTTGGTACAGCCACTATGGAAAACAGTATGGAAATTAAAAATACAACTACTTTATGATCCAGCAATAGCCAAAGTATGGAAACAATGAGTGTCCATCAAGGGATGGATGGATCAAAAATGTGGAATACAGGCAATGGAATATTCAGCTTTAAAAAAGATGGAAGTCCTGACATTTGTGACAACATGGATGAATCTGTGGGGCAGTATGCTAAGTGAGATGAGACACACAGAGAAAGTCAAATACGGAATAGTATCAACTATATGTGTATTCAAAATAAAATATAATGAACTGGTAGAAACACAGAGTAGAAAATCTGTTGCCAGTGGAAACTAGGGGGAAGTTGGTAAAAGGGTACAAACTTTCAGTTATAAGATGAATAAGTCCTGAGGATCTAATGTATAACATGGTGACTATAGTTGATAACACTATATAATTGTTATATAATTATACAATACAATTATTATATAATTATTGTATAAATGAAATTTGCTAAGAGAGTAGAACTTAAACATATTCACACACAAAAATGGAATAAATATGTGAAATGAAGAATGTGCTAATTCACTCAGTGGGATGAATCATTTCACAGTGTATACATGTATCAAATCATCACTTTGTACACTTTAAATAACATAATTTTATTTTCAATTATACCCCAATAAAGCTAGAAAATGACAGTAGCAGATAAATCAGTTCTGGAGACCTACTATATAGCTTAGTTCCCATAGCTTTAAAAATATGTCATTGTATACTTAAACTTTTCCAAGAGGGCAGATCTTTTGTTAATTGTTCTTAGCACACACAAAATAATAATAATTATAATACAAAGGGCAGGAGGAAACTTTGGGAAGTGATGGATACGTTTATGTCCTTGATGATGCTAGTAATTTCATGGGCACGTCCTTATCCCCAAACTCATCAAGTTTTACACATAGGTACCGTTTTTTGCTGGTGATGATAACTGGAAGTGGTTTAAAGAATAGTAACAGAGCCAAATTCAAGAACTAAGAGAGTGGGAAGAGAATATAAAAAGACTCAGTTAAAGCCAAGCGATCCAGGGAGAAGTAGGACTTTCTTTAACCTCCAGGACATAGTCAGAAAAACTGTAAAATCCTTAGGTAAGCACCACACTCAGCATGGTTGAAAAACAACTTGGTTCCTTTATGAAGATTATAAATGGCCGAAGAAGGTGTCGAGTTCAATGGGACTAAGTGTCCTCCACCACCTGCCTCCACATGAGTTTACTATGGGTTAAGTATGACGTGCAGAGAATGCAGAATTTCCCACATGCCCCAACACAGGAGGACTAATGGATTAAAAGAGGAGCTCTGGAATCACAAAATGAATGAATGAATGAATGACTGAAGTGAGATCTCATGAAGAGACCCTGATTATCTCTAAAAGACAAAGTATGATCAGCCACACTTTGTTAGATACCAACTGAGAGCACCAGTGATCAGGCAGACTGAGTTACACCACAGTGGATGCCAACAGAGACAGGAGATGGTGGTAGATCAGCCACACTTAATCTCTCTCTGATGGCCAGAGGCATGTGTGCCATCCTTGGTCTAAGACTACCATGGAAGAAGGAAAAGGAAAGGTGGAAGGAACTGTGAAACTTAGCAGGCATGACTTATCTGGACTTCATCTGAGATGATAATAGTACATGAATTTTCCCAAGATAAAATCACTAGATGAGACTGGAATTCAGTAGCTCAATTCATCTGCTTTAAGCAGATTGTGCCAGTTCCAAGAATTCAACCATAAATGCAAATTTTGAAAGAACAGACTTTGGAGGAAGAGTTTGTATTTCAATAGCCAGACTAGAAAAAGACCTACCATGCAAAATTGGTTTAAGATGTATTCCATAGAAAAAGAATAGAGCAACCATCAAAAGAATTATTTCAATCTGAAAACCTAGAAAAATTAAGCTGGAGGGGAGAAAAACTTGGAAAGAGATTTGGGTATTGAATCCCACTCTCATTTCAATCTTCACTTCTTGATGCTATTAAGCTAATCCCTGTGATTTTAAAGAGCCACCCGATGGAGAATTCCCTGTTGGTCCAGTGGTTAGGACTTTGTGCTTTCACTGCAGAGGGTGTGGGTTCAATCCCTGCTCAGGGAGCTAAAATCCTGCAAGCCACAAGGCAAAAAAAAAGAAAAGAAAAGAAAAAAGCCCCCCACGGTCTTTTAGGACAAGTGGATGAAATTTCTAAAGGGAAGACTTTTGGAGAGGTAATAATGGCATGCTCCACAGACACATATCAATAACTAAGAATCGTTGTTTCCACTGAGGATAAGAATTGATAGATTTGAGTGATTCCAAGAGCAAGAAGTGACATCGATGATTTTCCAGGGCATAAACTAGGAATATTGGAAGTCTCTTAGACAAGCCAGCGTTCTACCCAATGATAGATCATAAACGGCTAAATAAACTGTCTATGGAATAAACTTCGGTATGCTTATGCCAAAAAATGGTATCTAAAAGTTTCTGAATTCTCAAGAGAGGAGTGCAGAATGACTGGAAATATCAGCAGATTGGAAAAATCCTGGGATTGAAACGGAGTGCCTGTGTACTAAATAGATTTACTGACTAAAGATCATGGCAGGTACCATGAGCATAATCAGAAGGGGCTCAAAAGATACACAGAGTGTAAATAGATGAGGTCAGCCACTGTCAACAAATGTTGGGTAAGAAATAGGGAGACTAGTCAAGCTTTAGCAAAGTGGGAGCAGGTGATGAATTTTCCCAACTGAGTTCTAAAATAGGAAATGAAGGCAGGTCTGAACATTTGAGTTCAGCGCGTAGTTTTCAATTCTGCTACAGTGCTAATTAATTGTTTCACATTTAGCTGTGCACCATAAAATAATGTCATTGTGGTATTTTTCTGGTTTTTTACTATCAATTAAACAACATATTACAGTTTATGTAATACAATACTTATTTAAAACTTTGTTTCATTAAAAGACAACACGATAAGACATTTTTTGCTTTCCCTTTCCAGGGATGTTCTTTGTGGAAAATTGGCTTGTGTTTGGCCACATAATAATACTTACAAAAGTGATGTTCGCTCTGCAGTTTATTCATCTACTCAAGGACATGTATGCATAACTATTGGGTCATCAGTGAGATCAGGTGGAAGAGATTATGCCTATGTGGCTGATGGCACTGTGTGTGGTTCACAAATGGTAACAAAACATGTTCACTTATCTGTGCTAAATTATGTAATTATCAGACACTATATTCCATGATGACTATCACAATCGTACAAAATGGATTTGAACCTGGTGCTGCCACTTATTTCCCAAATGATATTGAAAAGATAATTAAACTAAGCCTCAGTTATCCAATCACATTGATTTTTGGGTTAATCTGTCATCAGTCCTAATGTGAGAAGATGTGTTTTTAAGCGCAAGATTCCACTAACTGATAGGTGATTTTCTTTAGGTCTTTGAATTCTGATGGTTTTAAATCATAAAATTCTAATTTTGAGTTTTTAATTTTTCCTGCTTCACAAAGAAACATAATCGAGCTTTCATATTTCTTCTGCTTACGTGTATGGTCAAAATATAAGTGTGAGAAATTTGGGAGAACCAAACAAGACGTCTGTACTGAGAGACCACAGTTATAGTGATGTATAAGCTTATGCTGATACATACATGTAGTACTATTCATGTAGTCAAAAAATAAAGGGAGAACACAAATGGTTCAGAGGCATAGTGAGTCAGTCTGGAAGTATGAGTGCACACAGTTCAGAAAACATAAGGCAGCAGTTGTAAATCAGTGTGTTTCATGTAAATGGCATTTAGTACTTACTTGCTGGATTAAAAATAAAACAAAACCCTAAAATGGTTACTCAATTAGCTAGTCCTTATATCTGTGTTCAGCAATTTTATTCCCTTGGAAACTTGCTTCTTGTGGTCGACAGCTTCTAAAATGCTCCAATGCTCCCACTTCCTGGTGTTCACACCCCAGTGTAATCCTCTTCCTTTGTGTGTGCTCTGGATACAGTGACTGGCTTCTGAGAAAGATAATATGGCAGGGTTATGGAATGTCACTTACAAGATTAATTTTAAAAAGACAGTGACTTCTGTTTTGCATTCTCTCTCTCTGTCTTTCTCCTGCCTTCTCAGATTGCTTGCTTTGCTGAAGCAAGGTACGTGATGGAGAAACTCATATGGAAAAGCAAATATTTTCTCCTGTAGCTTTTTTTGTACCCTCTTCACAGACTTTAACAGAACAAAAGCTTTTGATTTTCATGATGTCAATTTATCCTTTCATAGAGCATGCTTTTTGTGTCAAGTCTAAAAACCCTTCATCTAAACATAGGTCATGAAGATATTCTCCCAGTTTTTTTTCTAAAAATGTATAATATTCTGCTTTACATTTAAGTCTTTGTTTAATTTTAAGTTTATTTTATAACGTGTGAGGTTTAGGTTGGGGTTCATTTTTTTTGTACTTTGGTCAAAAATAAATTGGGTATATTTTTGTGGGTCTATTTTTGGGTTGCCTAGATTGTTAAATTAATCTGCATGTCTGTCCATCCACCAGTATCATATTCTCTTGATTACTTCAGCAATTCAGTAAGCTTTAATAACAAGCAGAGTGATTCTTCTCATTTTATTTTTCTTTCAAAATATCGTTTTAGCTATTCTAGTTTAGCCCTGCACTTTTCCATATAGATCGTAAAATAAACTTATATGAGACAACAAAAAACTTTTCAGAAATTTAATAAGAATTGTGTTAAAGCTATAGTTTAATTTGGGAAGGACGAATATCTTTACTACACTGAATCTTCCAATCCATGAATATGCTAAGCCTCTTCAATTATTTAAGGGCTCATTGATTTCTATCATCAGCATTTTATAATTTTCAAGATACAGGTGTTGTGCATCTTTTGTTAGACTTGTATCTCAGCACTTTATTCACTTTGGAGTAAGTATAAGTGATATTGTGTTTTTAATTTCACCTTTCACATGTTTATAGAAATGTAATTTTTATGTGTTGAACTTGTACCCAAAACCTGGCTGCATTATTTTATTAGTTCTAGAACTTTTGGGGGGGTAGAGTCCTTAGAATTTTGTATGTAGACAATCACTTCATTTTCAAATAAAGTGTTTTTTTTTTTCTTTTATGGTCTACACATATATATTTTTTTCCTTGCTTATTGCACCGGCTAGAGCTTCACGTACTATGTTAAATAAGAGTCTTGAGAGTGGACACCCTTGCTTTCTTCCTGATCTTAGGGGAAAACTTCCAGTCATTTACCATCAGCTGTTTTATTAGCTGTAGGTTTAAATATGACATTTAAGAAAGTTGAGAAAGTTCCCTTCTACCCCTTGTTCACTCAGATTTTTTTCATTATAAATAGGTGCAGAATTTTGTCAAATACTTTTTCTGTGTTAATTGATATAACCATGTGATTTTTCTTTTTTGAGAATATAGTTCTATTTCATCCAGATCATCTAAAAAACAATATGTGGAAATACATTAATGGTATTTGAGAAGTCTAGATTCATAAGAAAAACTAGCGTTTGTAAAGATAGTACATTTTCCCTTATTCTGTGTTAGCTGGTGTAGCTTGATAGGAATGAGGAAGCACAAATGATTAAATCTAGGTGGAGGGGCTTCCCTGGTGGCGCAGTGGTTGAGAATCCGCCTACCGATGCAGGGGACACGGGTTTATGGTCAAGTGAATGTACTTAACGCCACTGAATTGTAAACTTGAAAATGGTTAAAACTGTAAATTTTGTATAATGTATACTTTATCATATTTAAAAAGTTAAAAAAAAAAAACTTGCACAGAGGTGTTTGGCACTCTTAAATCTCCTAGATAGTCATGATCAAAGTCTCTGGCAATTTTGAACCATTTTCCAAAATTCTCCACCTAATTTTTTTTTTTTTTTTCGGTACGCGGGCCTCTCACCGTTGTGGCCTCTCCCGTTGCGGAGCACAGGCTGCGGACGCGCAGGGTCAGCAGCCATGGCTCACGGGCCCAGCCGCTCCGCGGCATGTGGGATCCTTCCAGACCGGGGCACGAACCCGCGTCCCCTACATCGGCAGGCGGACTCTCAACCACTGCGCCACCAGGGAAGCCCTATGCTGATATTTTTAAAGAAGTCAAAAGAACATAAGCTAGGAGCCTAGTTTAAAAAACAGAAAAAGGTAAATGAGGGAAAAAGTGAGTAATTTACCACTGGATTACCCACTTTGACGTAAGAAGGGTTTTGCAGTGGATCCAAATTAAGTTAAAATATTTCTCTTGCTGGATTATTCAGATCAATATTATAACAGGGATTCATGACAATTTATAATCCAAAATATTAATTTATATTTAAAACCCAAACTAAATTAATAAATTATGTTCCAGTTTCAGTTTTTGAGGGGACAAATCATTAATATTAATCTAACCAATTATTCATAACAGAACATTAACTCCCCTGATGGAGATTCTCAATTCAATTCCCAATTGTAAGTATCAAAACCAAAATTATATGACCTTATTACATAAATTATGTTAAGGCAAGCACTCTCAGGGGGGTTTTCTTAAAGTTATTATTGTTTATTTTTGTATTGGAATGCCAGAATCTTTGTACCAATATCAGAGTAATGCATAATAAAAAGTCTCAACAAGAGCATCTTTTGTACGTATATAGCAAGTAGTTAATTCTTTCTTCACATCAAATTTGTGAATAATTATGAAGTATTGTTTGTTCTGTTCTAGTATTGTATAAATAAAACCTGCAAAGAAGTTCCTTTAATGGGGTATAATTGTAATGCCACTACAAAATGCAGAGGAAATGGGGTAAGTTACTGTTGTTTTCGTAGTTCTAAATTTCATGTTATTTTTGTGGGTATTTCAAAGTCAAAATCTATACTGTTTGGGAGAATTGAAAATCTAGGTTGCTTTTAAACAGACCTGGCCTAAGAATAGCTAACTAATATAAAGAAAATCAGCTGATTTCCAACCATTCCAAACACTATTAAGTGAATTGTACTATGTGTGTACTGAATTTATTGTAAGCACTCACAACTTATGAATTAGTAACATGTTTAAATAAAAAACACTTATTATTTTCTCATGCAAATAAATGCATATTTTACTTATATCGTGAACATATTTGTTCTCCCTCATACTCTGCATAATTAAAACTTATGGCTATATAATATTTTACAGAAGGTATACTTAAAAAACATATTAGAGAATTTCTGATGTTCTTATGAAGAGGTTTCTGATAGAAAATATATCCTCCTGCAAAAAATATTTTATTTCTTCTCAATTGCTTATCTGTTTTAATCTGGTAATACAGATTTGTGGTTACTTTTATATTTAATTTTTACTTCTTAAAATGTATAATTTGGGTCTCTTTGTGTTACTATTTTCCTAAAAGAAAATTAGTGTATGATTTAGTCAACATTATATGAATGATCCCAAATTAACCAAATTTATCAGTATTCAATTTTATAATTTTTAATTGATTGGTTTTAGAAGATATAAAGTGCTGCTGCATTGTCTTTAACTTTCTATGAGCTGTAAATAAAAAGGAGAGCTACATTTTCATGTTTTGTCTTTTATTTTCTATACTTATAATTATTGGTCTGATCTTTTGGTTTCCTTTGTTCAATTATCTGTTTTTAAGCCTCCAGCCTTAATATTTTTTATAAAATCTCAAACCAAAGTTATAGATTATTGATACATTTTATTTAGTAATAATTAACATGCAATATTATATTAGTTTCAGGTGTATATTAGTTTCAGGTGTACAGCACAGTGATTTGATATTTTTATACATTATGAAATGAGCACAACAGTAAGACCAGGTTTTTGTACATCTTATTTTACAATACAAAGTTTTAGAAAAAAAAAAAAAACACATCCAAAATGTAGCTACTTTGACGTTCCTGAGATATTCTATGCATTATGTTAATTTTTTCTAAAATTTATGTTACAGGGAAATTATAATCTATTTAGATTTGATATTCTAGATAAATGTTCTTTCTAACATGACATTGTCCGTCTACTTTAATGGGAGGAGTAGGGTACTGGAATACCACTTTTTTCAAAAAGTAAAGAAAAATATATGTGGGAGGTATTCATTTAGAGGAGGTCCCATGTATCAACAATGGAAAAATGTTGCCTTTCCACATTAAAAATCCCTCTGTTGTCACAGGGCTATTAAATTTTAATTCCATTCTCCCAAAACTTTGTAAACTCTGTTGGACTGTCCTATCGCTTTCAGTCCTGCCAGAGAGAAACGTGATGCTAGTTTAATTCCTTTTACCTTGTGCCGAATGTTGTGAGATTACTTTTCTTTGTTTTCTGAGCTTAGAAATATTGCTGACAAGTGTCTAAGGTATGTGTTTTTCATTTCATTTTTTCTACTAGGAAGTCAAATTACACATCCAGTCTGAAATAGCATGTCATTCTTCATTTAATAAAATTTAATAGTATAAAATGTAATAATATTATTTATTTGGTTATTGCTTCTGCTCTAGCTGGCCATCTTTTTCTTTCATTAAGTTAGTCAAAATGCAATGATGGTAACCTCTGTTGCTTTATGTTGCTTAGATAATTGTAAATTAATTCAGGACAGGGGAAAAATTTTGGATTAGGTTTGAGATAATAAAAAAACGATACTGTAGTCCTAATTTCAAAACTTTATATTAAAATATTTATCACCTGTGCACTAAATATCAAAAAACAGAGGTATTGATATGTACAATAGAAGAACACTTTATGGAATTCAAGATTATAATTCAAACTCATTTTATTGAAATCCCTTTTGATATGTAGGGAAAAGAGATTTAAAATTTCAATAATCGTTAAACACAAGAATTTAGCGCTGTCAGTGTACATGAGCAGGACACAATATCTGTAGCAGAATTATAGGAAATATCCATATCTTTGAATATTGCATCTATTTTTTAAATGTGCCAGTCCTATATTTATACCTTCAGGTATGGGAATACGTTCATAACATAACATTAGTGATATTTGTTTGGCAAAAACCTGGGAATGAGTGTTAATGTGTGTTTGTGGGTGTGGATGTACATGTTTATCTGTGAATATACATAACACGGAATATGCTTAGCAGTGGAGAGGGACTTAATTAGTAGGTGAAGACACATTTAGCTCTGTGCATTTTAATTGTTTGAATTTTACAAAATTTTACTCAAAAATGAAAATTAACACTAAGCTATTGAAATGTAAAAGCATAAATAACATGGAAACTGCACTGAATATAAACTGCTAGCAATTCAAACTTATCATAAAGTTTTTTTTCTATCGTTTTTAATTATTTTTGGCATCTATGTTTTTTTTTCTTATATTGGAAAATTTTTCACTTAAAAATGAAATACAAATGGTTGATCAACAGTATTAAATTTTGAAAGAAAGGGCTAGGATAATAAATTAAAGTGGCCAAGTCAATTGATGGCAATTCTATCACGATATTTTTGTGTATAAATTAAAGGCCAGGGGCTTCCCTGGTGGCGTAGTGGTTGGGAGTCCACCTGCCGGTGCAGGGGACACCGGTTCGTGCCCCCGTCCGGGAGGATCTCGCATGCCGCGGAGCGGCTGGGCCCGTGGGCCATGGCCGCTGGGCCTGCGCGTCCGGAGCCTGTTGCTCCGCAACGGGAGAGGCCACAGCAGTGAGAGGCCCGCGTACCGCAAAAAAAAAAAAAAAAAGAAGAAAATTAAAGGCCAGGAACATACTATCAGGCAGGGTAGTGATTCTGGCATTAACTGTTAGTATACTGCCAAATTTTTCACTACTTTTTCTAACCTATTTCTCACATTATGTAGTCTTAATAAACTCAGAAAAACAGTGATTTTGTTCTTTTGAATGTATTTCTATATGACATATAAAGACTACCATGATTTATAGTGATTATATGTTTTTCTGTTTCAGATATGTAATAATTTAGGCAATTGTCATTGCTTTCCTGGGTATAGGCCTCCAGATTGTGAATTACAAATTGGTTCACCGGGAGGAAGTATTGATGATGGAAATGATCATAAATCTGGTGAGTAGAAATTAAACTTTAAAAAAAAAATAGAATGCTTTATGAAATAATTAAAGAAATATACTGCCGAGTCAAATCTTTCATGATCTCCTGAGTAATTAATAGAGTTACCTTGAATAGTGGCTTTCATTAAATTAGTGTTAAATAATATTTGTAACGTGGTTTCCTCAGAGAAACCCAGTTTTGATCATCTCAGTTACTAAGATAGAATATGGTACTCTTAAGTTTCAATAAATGTCATAGGACGAATGCAAAACAAATTCAAATATGGACGAATGAACACTATGTAAGTTGTTTGCATCCCATGCTATTAAAAACTTTGTAGGTTATTAAAAAACAATTGTAGGATAAAGTGTTTATTCTGAATGAAATATAGACAAAAACATATGACAAAATATAAGTATACACATTTATTAGGAAATAACAGTAAATCACATTTTGAGTGATGAAGTACAGGTTTATACTTTCTCTTTTTTCCATGAACAGCAAGTAGCTGTTCATTGATTCAACATCCATTTATGATAAAAACTCTCAACAAAGTGGGTATAGAGGGGCTATACCTCAACATAGTAGAACCCATATATGGAAAACCCAAAGCTAACATCATACTCAATGGTTAAAAGCTGAAAGCTTTTCCTCTAAGAACAGGAACAAGACAAGGATGTCCAGCCCCACCACTTTTATTCAACATAGTATTGGAAGTCCTAGTCACAGCAATTAAACCAAAAAAAACAAATAAAAGATAATGCAAGTTGTATTTTATGGGTATTTTATTCTTACTGGACTACATGGCCCAAATCAATTCATACATATCCATTTATAAAATTATTTTTGTGTTTGTATAATTTTGCTGGAACAACTGGACATCCATAAGCAAAAGAATTATTCTAGGCACAGACCTCATAACTTTCAAATATTAGGATCACAGTCCTAATACAAAATACAAAAGTATGCGTCTCCTAGAAGATAACAGAAGAAAATCTAAGTGCCCTTAGAGAATGACATTTTAGATACAGCAGCATGAGCATGATCCATAAAAGAAAAAATTGGTAACTTGCACTTGATTAAAACGTAAAAGTTCTGTTCTGTACAGAGTCAGAGAATGAAAAAACAAGCCAGAAACTGGGAGAACATCTTTGCAAAACATATATCTGATATAGGACTGGTATTCAGAATATACCAAGCACTCTTGAAACTCAACAGTATGAAAATTAACAACCCAGTTTAAAAATGAGCAATGTTAAAGTGCTTATCTGGGCTCTCTTGTAGTTCTCTGAGCATCTCTAGAACGATTACGTTGAATTCTTTGTTGAGCAATACCTAGATCTCCATTCCTTTGGGGCCAGGCACTGTAAATGTCCTGTATTCCTTTGGTGGAGACATCTTTCCCTGATTTTTCATGATTCCTGTAGCCTTGCGTAGGTGTCCATACATTTGGAGATACAGTCACCCCTTCCAGACTTTGTAAACTATTTCCTAAGGGAAGCCTTTCACCTGTGGATGGAGGCACACTTGATCATGCTGTGACCCTGGGACAACTGGTGCAGGGCGCCAAATGCAGGAGCACCTGGTGGTACCAGGCCCAAAGGGATGTAATGTCTCTTCGGCTCAGGCCACTGAGGTCCATATTATCAACTGTGTGGTCCTTGTGAGCACTTCGTGGGTCCATAGTGGCTGCAAGGACTGTTGGGCTCTAAGCAGGACCTCCAAGATCAATAGCTAAGGACAAGGCCAGGCAGCAGTGGTGGCTGGAGATAGTGGCATGCACACACTTGGCCGTGGGGCCCAACTGCAGGTGCCCGTGTGGTGGCAGAGGTCAGGTGCAGACATGCTTGAAGCGATGGGCTGGAACCAACTATAGGCTCACTGGCCACAGCAGTGTTCCTGAGTGTCAGTGTGTTTTCCTACTGCTTCAAGCTCTACCTTGGGGTATGCATGCTGCAGGGAGACCAGTGATGGGGGGTGGTCAGGCTCGGGGTGCACACCGATGGGCTAACTACAGGTAGGCACAGTGATGCCAACCAGTGTCAGAAGGCAGAGCCTGATCTGGATCCAACAAACAGCTACAGTATGCTCCTCTCCTGTGGCTGTACTCTTAGCCCCTGGAAAGAGTGCACTGCTGTGGAGGTCAGTGATAGGGGTCTGGCTGGGGGTGTGCAGGTGCATAGCTGGGGGGCGGGGCTAGTTACAGGTGGGCATGGGTACTGGCCAATGACAGAGGCTGAGCCTCATCTGGATCTGATAACAGCTGCAGGGTCCATGGATGTCAGTGTGCTCTCCTGTGGCTGGACGCTTTCCCCACTGGCATGCACACTGCAGTAGAAGCCAGTGACAGGAATCAGGCTGGGAGCATGCCAGTGCATGGATGGAGGGGCTATCAACAGGCAGCCATGGTGGTCTTGGCCAGTGACAGAAGGCAGGACCTGACTGTGCCTACAAACAGCTGTGGCTGGCAGGAGAGGGGGCAGGCTGGCTCCCTATGCATTCGCCTGGAGCTGCAGGTTATTTCTGCTCAGTATTATATCAGAGTCTAGTCAGTATAAAAAGACCAAAAAAAAAAAAAAAAAGCTCAAAAAGCATACAGATTGAAAAGGAAAAAGAAAATCAGTCTTTATGTATAGATAATATGATCCTATATGCAGAAAATCCTAAGGAATCCACAAAAAATTTAGTAAGGTTGAAGAATATGAGATCAAAGTACAAAAAGCAATTGTATTCCTGTAAACTAAGAGGAGACAATCCAACAATGACATTAAGAAACCAATTTTATTCACCACAGCATAAAAAGTAAAATACTTAGAAACAAATTTAGTGAAAAATTACATGATGTGTACACTGAAAATTTCAAACCATTGCTGATGTAAATTATAGAAAATTTATATAAATGGAGAGACAATGATGTTCATAGATTGGAAGACTATTGTTAAATGGACGGTTCTCTGCAAATTTATCTATACATTCAAGAAAATCCCTGTAAAAATCATCCAGCTGGTTCATTTGCAGAAGTTGACAAGCTGGCTATAAGCTTTATATAGAATTTCAAAGGACCTAGAGTTGTCCAAATAACTTTGAAAAGAGTGATGTTGGAGAAAGTATACCACCCAATTTCAAAACTTTCTATAAAGCTACAATAATCAACACAGTGTAGCACTGATATTAACATAGACATGTAGATCAATGGAACAGAATAAAGAACTGGAAATAGACCCACAGATACATGGAAAACTGATTTTCCGTAAAAGTGCAAAGCAACTCAGTGAATAAGGGGTAGTTTTTTCAACAAAAGGTGCTGGAACCATTACATACACACATGTTAAAAAAAAAAAAGAATTTTGTACATTTTGTACATGATCTGAAATCATATACAAAAATTCACTCAAAGTGGATCACAGATCAAAATGTGAAGCCTAGGGCTTCCCTGGGTGGTGCAGTGGTTGAGAGTCCGCCTGCCGATTCAGGGGACTCGGATTCGTGCCCTGGTCCGGGAAGATCCCACATGCTGCGGAGTGGCTGGGCCCGTGAGCCATGGCCGCTTAGCCTGCGCGTTCGGAGCCTGTGCTGCGCAATGGGAGAGGCCACAACAGTGAGAGGCCCGCGTACCACAAAAAAAAAAAAAAAAATGTGAAGCCTAAATATATAAAACTTCAAGAAGAAAATATATGAGAAAACCTTAGTGACTTTGGATTAAATAAGGATTTTTTTTTACATATGACACCAAAAGCACAATCCAAGGAGAAAAGGTGAAAACTTGGACATCATCAAAATTAAAAGCTTTTGCTCTTCAAAAGTCACTGTTAGGTGTATACCTAATAAAGTATTTATATTCAGAATATGTACAAATTTTATATTCAGAATATATAATCTTTGAAACGTAATAATGAAAAACCAACAGCCTTCTAAAAATGGGCAAAACACTTAAACAGACACTTTACCAAAGAAGATATATGGATTGGCAAATAAGCACAAGTAAAGATGCCCAACATCATTGTTCATCAAGGAAATGCAAATTAAAATCACAATTAGATACCATAACATTCCTTTAAATTTCGTTTAAATTTAATGGACTAACCACATGAAGTTTTGCCAATATGTGAGGATAGTATCTCATACACTACTGTTGAAATGTAAAATTGTACAGTTTCAGCTTCTTTAAAAGGTAAACTTTTACCTACCATGTAATCTAGTCACTTTACTATTTTATTTACCCAAGAGAATAGAATGCCTTCTCCCATACCAAACTTTGTATACAAATGTTCATAACAGCTTTATATGTAATAGATAAAATTTGGAAACAACCCAAATACAAATCAACAGGTGATGGATCAACGATGTGTGGTATATCCAAACAATAGCATATATTGAACAGTAAAAAGGAAAAAGCTATTGTTAAAAGTACCAACATGGATGGATGTCAACATTTACGCTGCGTGAAAGAAGCAAGACTAAAATGAATACAGACTGTCTGACTCTATATTAATTTGTAGGACACACAAACTAATTGATAGGGAGAGAATGCAGATCAAATCAGTGGTTACTTGTTTGGGGGAGTGGCATCATGGCAGCATCACATATAGGCAAGAAGAAACTTTTGTGGATGATGGATATATTCACGACAGTTGAGCCTGGGAGTACATGGATTTGAACTGCACGGATCCACTCATACACAGATTTTTTTCAATAAATACTACAGTACTACAGCATCTGAGGTTGATTGAATCCATGGAAGGGCAACTGCGAATATGGTGGAAGCTGGGCTAAGAAGGGACCTAGAATATGGAGGACCAACGCTAAAGTTCAACACGGATTTAGACTGCTCAGAGTGGATTCCCCTGACCCCTGCATTGTTCAAGGGTCAACTGTCTTTTGACTGATGTGGTGGTTTTACAGATATATACATATATAAAACCTGTAAAATTGTACATCTCAAATAGGTGCATGTATTATGTGTCTAAAATAACTCAGTAAAGCTGTTAAAATAGCAAAATTTAAATGACATCTAAGACAAAAGTCACACTCTTTTGTTGTCAAATCTCAGATGTTAGTTAAACTTATTTTATCTACTTATCAAAAAATGATAAGAATTTTACATAAATGAAAAATCCACAGATGTCAAAAAAAATAATCTTTTAAATGTACGCCATATTTGTTCAATCTTATCCATCTGTACAGTTACAATGTTTGCATTTCATTGTATATGAAGAATAACTATAATAAAAAGAATGAAAATACCAAATATACCAAGACTCTCATCCACTGCTAATGGGAATGTGATTTCTGCAACCACTTAGGAAAATCACTGGAAAAGTTACAAATGTTCAATTTAGGCACCTGCTATGAATAAGCATCACCACTCCCAAGGGCATATACCTGAGAGATGTGCACACATACATTGACTAAGAGACATGTAGTATAATATTCATAGCAGCACTATTCATAACACCCATAATTGTAAATAACCCAATGCTCATGAGAAATAGAATGCATTAATAGCTGTTATTTCTACATAAAGATATTATATGCAGTGAGGAGAATGAATATTTTACAACTATAAGCGATAATCTGGGTGAATCCCTAAATTACATAATATTGAGCCAAAAAATAATCAGATAGAATAGAAATACACACAATATAACTCTATTTATATAAAGTTTAAAATCTGTCAAAAATGATCCGTGCTCTTAGAGACCATGGATTAGTGATTCTCATTGGGAAGGATGGTGGCTGAAAGAAAGCAGATTGGAGGTCATGGGATGCTGGTAATACTAAGTTTCCTGGATTTGGTGCTGCTGGTTACATAGATATGTTCAATTTAGAAAATTCTTTGAGCTGTAAAATTATGGCATGCATGCATTTCTGTTAGTATGTTATAGTTCAGTAAAAAATTTACTAAATAAATAATAATGGAAGAGATCAATACGCATGTAACCTTTGGAGAGGAATGATGATTAGAAAATGTCCTGAGGATGCTTTGGGGAGTCTAACAGGGTATGTTGATCTGGATGATTTTGCTAATTCTTTGTTAACATATTTATTTACTGTGTACTTTTCTGAATTGCGTAATACTTCAAGTTTTTAGGTGTAAGAAATTACGAAAGGGCATAAATATGTCGTTGAACGTCAACGAGAGGGGAAAAATACACACAACACACACTTTACATATAGGTAGATACAGATACCAGGATAGGTATAGATATGGATTTTATTCATACGTATAAAATATAAATACTAGATGGAGAAACATGAGTCATTTCAAAACGGTTTCCTCCAAGGAGAGAAGCTATGTGACTTGGCGAGGGAGGGGGATGGCGGTTTTTCACAGTATTTTGCTAAATTTTTAGCTTAAGCCCTATTAATATATCACCTTTTAAAATATGATGCCATAAATAAGCAGCATGTAATAAGCAGACCTCAAAATATGTATACAGTATCATAATAATTAAACAAATATGCATAAAAGATGACTAGTAAATCTATGAAAAATGTACCATTGACGTTTTGGCTATGAGCTTAAATGTCCTTCTGTTTTCTCCTATAAGAGTTTGCAAGGTATTAAACTTTCGATTAGGTATATGATTTTATATGTACACATATGATTAAAGTGAAATAAATATAAATTTATTCAAATGTTCTATGTTTCATTTCTAGTTACAATTTTTACTAAAAAAGGCTACAATGCACATCAGAACTGGTTTATATTGAGTTTCTACATTGTTCTGCCCTTTTTCATAATTTTCACCATTATGATCATGAAGCGAAATGAAATGAGAAAATCATGCAACAAAGAGAGTGCAGAATATGAGGGGTAAATATGATTTTACAAATAATTTATTATTTTAAATTGTGCTGGTCATTAACCAGTGTCATAAATTCATAATTGCATAACATTTGTTATATTTATTATTAAATAAGTGCTATTTTAAATCTAAGGTAAATGGCATTTTAACCATTTTGTTTTCCCAGTAGTTCATTGTTAGTATATTAAGGCAAGTCAAAATTTTGACTGCTCCAAAACTGTTCTCCTGACGAATATTCCACACTGTACTAGGGACTTAATATGTCAGAGAAGAATATATTTGGTGTATCATTTTAAGTTCCTTTCTAGTTGGATCTAAATTAAGTATGAGTGTTTGTTTCCTTTGGGGAAACCTTTTTTTTCCAATTTAGAATTTGTGTTAAACATGTCACTAATAAACCCTTGAACATCATAATATTTCTATCTCTTTAGTAGTCTCAAATACTGTTAAAAAATCTCTACAGAATTCCTTTGAAATCAGATACTGTTTCTTACACATTTGTGCAGACTATTTTCTTACATTTGTGCGTCTTCTCTTCTGATGACCTAACATTTAACTCATTGAAGGTAAGAAACCCTCATATTAATTCCGAAATGTAACATTACGAATGAGGATTTCAGCTTCAAAGTTACATTTTCTTTGAAAGCTATTATTACTAGTCCATTTTATGAAAACACGCTCAACTGCACACACATTACATGCATATCGTTCAGGGAAGTGATGGATCATATTCCCTGAAAGAGGAAGTGACTTAACTGGCCTATCACGAGCCTTTACAGAGGAAAAGAGAAAAAGAGAATTCAAAGAAAGTCCTGACAGGTAATATCGTAGAGGGAACGTGAGTAAAGTACATGCTCAATACATCTTCACATCCAAAAATTTCTGCTGCACCCAGCGTTAATGACTGTTCCTTTATAAACTCTCCCACCAGGCCTGGGATGTGTACCATTCGGCCCTCCATCTTTGTTTATTCTATAAGTGTATATACTGGAGCCACTGAAAACATAATTTTCATCAGATGGAAAAAATCATCTTGTAGCCATATATTTATTTCCATCATGCATTAGGCTGGGGCTATGGGTTTTAGGTAGGAAGATCACAGAGGTGGAATGTCGTTCTCATCACATCCATATCAAAGGCAAATACTACCAACTGATAACTTAATATCAACCTTGATTACCTGGAGGAAGTAGTGTTTGTCAGGTATTTCCGGAAAACATGAAAACACCTGTAAGATTATTTTTCTCCCTTTTTATACTAAAATCTATAAAAGGAAGCAACTAAATGTACCCCATATGTTTTTGTTTTTTGAGCAGCTCTTCACTTTTGGGTTCTATAAGATGTTCCAGAATCATCTTGTATATTCCTGGCCACAGGCCTAGAAGCATGCATTTCTACAAGGATTCTTGGTTTCTTTTATTGGAGAACAATATTAGAAACAGATCTAGATGCTAGGTGTGCTCCTTGCTTCTTGTATTTCATTGTGTCTAGATCCTCACAATAGATGGATATATAAATTCAATATATGTGTACAACACATACATACACACACCTGTCTTTATATATCCTGCAGATAAGGCCTTTATCAGATATAAAAATTGCAAATGTTTTCTTCAGATGTGTGTCATATTTTCATTCTAACCAGTGTCTTTTGCTGAGGAAAAGTTTTTAATTTTATCATTATTTTCCTTCTTGGATTATACTTTTGTTGTTATATTTAAAAACTCACCACCAAACCCAAGGTCACTCAGATTTTCTCCTGTGCTTTCTTCTTGAAGATTTATAGCTTTGCATTTCACATTTAGATCTATGATCCATTTTAAGATAATTTTTGTGTAAAATTTGAAGTAAATTTAGAGTAAGGTGTGAAGTATGTGATAAGGTTTGTATTTTTGCATATGTATGCCAAATGGTCCAGCACCATTTGTTGAAAGAACTGTCGTATCTTCATCAAAATGCCTTTGCACCTTTGTTGAAAACCAACTGACCAATATATATGTAGGTCTAATTTTGAATGAAGGAAATAAGATGTTTTTTATTTTCATGGTCAATTTTACAGTGCAAGTCTGCTTATTTATAGGATAACGATTTTTTTTCTGTAATGTATCTTTTTCCAGGTTTCAAACATTAGAATGTGATTTTCTCTTTAATTCATATTTGCAAATAAGTTTGCCTAAAGGAAAGATGTGAGTTATCTTTTTCACATGCCACAGGTTAAGTAAATAAATAAAGGTATAAATTCCTTTAAAATCCTCTTTTATGTTGAAGTTTGTCTCTTAGAAAGCAGAATGGAAAGAAAATAATGCTTCATGAAGATTGGTTTTCTCTGCCTTCATAATGAAGTTAAACTGCATTAAAATGTATTAATATTTGGCAAGGTTTGAAAAAGACTTTTTGCTGTTGTTGCTTTTAACTCACACTAAAAACTGTGCAAGCAGAGGGCTAGACATTGGGAGACTTAGTAGAAGACTAACTTTTCTTAGAGTGGACCATAACACAAACTCACAGACCACACACCTAAGAACTTCCATTTAATCACTTTCTGCAAGACCAAGAGGAAAAATCATAGTTATGGTGAATACACATTTGGGTTGAAGCCAGGAATACAACACAAATTACTTGGGCTTCCAGAAGGAATATATTTCAAATATATATACCTAGATATACATACATATATATAACCTAAATATTCATATATAGAGAGAAGTTTTATGTATGTAACTATATATATCATATATATAACTATGCATATATATATATATATATATATATATGTTTTCTGACATCTTAATGGGTATGAGGTTGTAGCTTATCATGGTTTTTATTTGCATTTTCATAATGATTAATGAGCATCTTTTCATGTGCTTATATTCCATTAGTGTATCTTCTTTGGAGAAATGTCTATTCAAGTCCTTTGGCCATTTTTGAATCAGATTGTTTGGGGTTTTGTTGTTGTTGAATTTTAGGAGTTCTCTACATATTCTGTATATTCATCTCTTATCGGGTATATGATTTGCAAATTCTCCCATTTTTTGGTTGCCTTTTTATTTGTAATATTCTGGGTATATAGCCAAAATAATCAAAAGCAGTTTCTCCAAGAGCTACTTGTACACCAATGTTCATTGCACCTTTGTTCACAATAGCTAAAGATGGAAGCAACACAAGTGTCCATCAACAGATGAATGGATAAAGCAAAATGTGGTTTAAACATGCAATGGAATATTTATGATCTAGCCTTTAAAAGGCAGGAAATTCTGACACATGCTACAAGGCAGATGAATGAACCTTGAGGACATTATGTTACATGAAATAACCTAGTCACAAAAGACAAATACTGTATGAGTTCACTAACATGAGGTACCCGGAGTAGTCAAATTCCTAGAGAGAGAAAATAAAATGGTGGTTGCCAGGGTTTGGGATAGGAAGGAATGAGGAGTTATTGTTTAATGGGTATAGAGTTTCAGTTTTTCAAAATGAAGAGTTTTGGAGATGGTAGCTGGTGATGTTTGTACAACACTGAATATACTTAATAGCAATAAACTGTACACTAAAAAATAGGATGGTAAATTTTATGTTATGTGTGTTTTACCATAATAAAAATTATTCTTATAAAAAATAAATTTCCCCCAACCCATAAATTAAAACATGAAATGAAAGTCCTCTTCAAGTTAACTCTGTAGCCTTTCAATGTGTGAACTCCACAGTGACTGGGAAAAAATTGTATTTAGACTTTCACCATAGTCTTTCTAAACCATAGATTTTTCTAAGAACCAAAAGTGTACAAAACTAAATAAATAAATGGATTTCGATTGTTTTCAGTCATGTCAAGGCTATAATTATTTTGCCTCATACTTAAATTATAAATCAACAGTAAAGTAAATAAAATGCACACATAGGAGATTGGTTCAAGATGGCGGAGTAGAAGGACGTGCACTCACTCCCTCTTGGGAGAGCACCGGAATCACAACAGTTGAACAGTCATCGACAGGAAGACACTGGAACTCACCAAAAAGATACCCCATATCCAAAGACAAAGGAGAAGCCGCAATGAGATGGTAGGAGGAGCGCAATCACAATAAAAGCAAATCCCATAACCACTGGGTTGGTGACTCACAAACCAGAGAACAATTATACCACAGAAGTCCATCCACTGCAGTGAAGGTTCTGAGCCCCACGTTAGGCTTCCCAACCTTGGGGTCTGGCAATGGGAGGAGGAATTCCCAGAGAATCAGACTTTGAAGGCTAGTGGGATTTGATTGCAGGACTTTGACAGGATTGGGGGAAACAGACACTCCACTCTTGGAGGGCACACACAAGATAATGTGTGCATCAGGACCCAGGGGGAAGAAGCAGTGACCCCATAAGAGACTGAACCAGACCTACCTGCTAGTCTTGGAGGGTCTCCTGCAGAGACGGGGGATGGCTGTGGCTCACCATGGGGACAAGGACACTGGCAGCAGAAGTTCTGGGAAGTGCTCCTTGGTGTGAGCCCTCCCGGAGTCCGCCATTAGCCCCACCAAAGAGCCGGGTAGGCTCCAGTGTTGGGTCGCCTCAGGCCAAACAACCAACAGGGAGAGAACTCAGCCCCACCCACCAGCAGACAAGCAGATTAAAGTTTTACTGAGCTCTGCCCAGCAGAGCAACACCTAGCTCTACCCACCACCAGTCCTTCCCATCCCATCAGAAAGCTTGCACAGACCTCTTAGATAGCCTCATCCACCAGAGGGGAGACAGCAAAAGCAAGAAGAGCTACAATCCTGCAGCCTGTGGAGAGAAAACCACATTCACAGAAAGATATACAAAATGTAAAGGCAGAGGACTATGTACCAGCTGAAGGAACAAGATAAAACCCCAGAAAAACAACTAAATGAAGTGGAGATAGGCAACCTTCCAGAAAAAGAATTCAGAATAATGATAGTCAAGATGATCCAGGACCTCGGAAAAAGAATGGAGGCAAAGATCAAGAAGATACAAGAAATGTTTAACAAAGACCTAGAAGAATTAAATA